GTCCTCTCTTGCGAAACCTTTACACAGGCTTCAAAACTACTGCTGTCCAAGTCTATCAGACTCCCATTCCCACAATCGGACCAGGGATTATGGGCTCATTAGTCCAAATCGAAGTGGGCTACATCAGGTAATAGATGTGTCACTGCCTGAGGCTCCTCCCCTCCCCATTTTGTGCTCGGTAGGCGGGGCCTCACCTTTAACACAGGTGTGAGGTATTCGGCCACCTCCAGCGCCTTTCCCTTCACCGTGTTGATGACGTTCTGCATGGTGCCTTGCTCTGCCGGGGGGACAGAGAGGGGTAAAGTGCCTGTCACCAAAGGCGGACCCACAAATTCAACTGCGCCGTCGCTCTTCCCTCCTTTAGCCTTTCCTTCCGGGAGCTGAGAGCCACCAAGCGCTCCCCCCCCGCTCCCCGCCCACTACCTTCAATGGGGTGCGTTGGGGGGGGAGAAGCAGGGAGTCATGTGAATTCTCTTGACACGTGACCTACTAGCTATCCGCCCCGCCCCTTTTCTTCGCCCGGCGGCAACCGCAGAATCTGCGCCTGCGTAGAAATAGCTGAGTTTGCGGCTGAATCGCGTCATCCATAGATCTACGTCTTTGTGCTTTGTTTCCTCGGCTTGTGCGCCACTCATCTCCATGGTGGTAACTCTAGATTGACACATTGTCTCATTTGTAAAACTAAGTTCATGCTTAAACCGGTATCCGAACAGCTCTCGGCGGCACTCCTTGTCACTTTTCCAAAATATTTAACGCGATACTTTTCTTAGCTCTATGGATGCCGGCTCTTTCGAGTCACTGCGCATGCTTCTCCGCCGGGTGCCTCGTGGGAGACAAGGAGGCGGCTGGGAAGTGCCGGCTCGCCTTCTCGACTCTGCGCGTGCGTGCCTGAGCGGCAGGTAGACTCCTTAGGTAGGGGGCGATGCCAGGAGAAGATCCGTAACTGTCAGGTAACCGAGCCTTTAGCTGTGGGCTTAGGCAGAGGGGATCGAGCGCTGCTCCTATAGGGCCAGAATTTTTAAAAGCCTGCTCTTTGGGGAGGAATTACAGCTCCATCAAGAAGGAAAATGGGAGCTCCGTCGTTTGACTCTGGCTCAGTTGTATGGGTTTCCAGAATCCAAAGTCAGAAAAAGGCGGGCTTTTTGGCAAACCATTGCATGTGCCGAGCTCGTGGTGGCGCTTCCAGTTGTGTTAGATTTCAGCCTCTGTTAACTTCCAGTTGGGCTAGACAGCTGTGCATCTGGAAGGCAAAGAATTGGTGCAGGATGTTTTACAGTGGCTAAGGCTTGGTTCACCCATATGAAACCATCGTTTGATTAACTAGCAGTTATTTTGTTGATTAATGTACATTTCACTTGGTTTTCACTGGGCATATGCTAAGGTGTGGGCTGTGTAGTTAGCTGTCTTTATTGAATAAACCAAATGGATCTGACAACCCACTGTTAGAAATAGTGTTAGGTGGGATGGCTTGGTATCTCAATTACCTAAATACTGCATTTCATTCACAATGATATTTGCAAAGCACTGTGGTACAACAAGGATGTGCTATGCCTCTTCACTACCATCTTCATGTTGGATCTTAGATTGGCTGCTTCTTTTAGACAGCCTCAAGGAATTCACACCTGGAATATAAATTGACACTGAACATAAATTATTACATACTGCCAGTATTAATTATAAAAACCTATTGAAATTATACAACAATATGTTCTAGGTACACAATTAACTAGAATAAGTCTAACTTGTTGAGTTTTGATTCTGTTATTGATAGTGGAGAAGTAATTATATTGAAACCCTTGTGTTAAAGAGATTAGTACTTTTATTTCAGTTGATTTTTAAAAGTTGCAATAAAGATGTGGAGAGATTGCCTTTTGAGCTTGACCTCCCTTTATTATATGCTTGGCAACACTTATAAGTGAACCGTGCATGAACAGTACGACATGCAATTCTTGCTTTTTAAAGAGATCTTGTGCTTAAATGGAAGCCAAAATGGAAGTTTATGCTTTTTTTGCACTGACATTTAAAGTAACTTATAGAATGAAAAAAGCCATGCATGTTATTGTCAGCAAAGTCACACAAGCTAATATAGATTACTTTTGTATGCGGTTCTAATAACAGAATCTTGCAAGTCTGAATGCATTTCTCTTCCTCCTTCTGTCCCTTGATCTTTGTGAGAACTAAAGAGGGTCTTGTCTAAAACGCTTAGTCAGATTGCAGATCTGGTCTGAACTTAAGTTTCCTTTACCTGACCATTGTCTTCGCTGCAGTTATTCCTTCTGCCTATTGATAAACTCTTCCCAAAAGCAAAACAAGAGTTAGTTAGCTTCTCCAAACAATGAATAGTTGAGCAGTTGTATAATTTACTTTAGAATGAAGCAAAGAGATATAACTGAAAAAGATTTTTTTCTGTTAGATTATTTTAGCATATTTAAATATGATGCACAGTGAAACCAATTCTTAATTTCCTTTTTTTAAAAAACTAATATTTCGACTCCACTATTGTGGAAGGTAATACCTACAATTGATAATAAATTATCAGGAGAGTATTGTGGTATGCTCAGTTGCTTCAGTTGAAATGTATTATTCAGTAAAGACTAAATATAAGATTCATCAAGGTCAGGGAACATTTTTATTAATGTTATGTTGCTAGTACTATATTTAAAGGGTTTACTAAAACAGTACTCAAGCTTACCATAAAGGCCACTAATTGTATATTTAATGCCTTAGAAAAAAACATGCATTACAAAACTTGCTTTTATGCAGTTTGTGAAGAATCAAGCACTAAACAGCTTTCTGAGTAGTCTAAAAGTAATAAATGTTATTTTAAAGGATGTACCTGATATAATATTTTGCTTTGTGGTTCAAAGTGCACTGACAACACAGCAACACCATGGATTCCAAATGTTGCAGTCAGTCTGTTCGATGGTCCAAGTCAGCTATTTATACACTGCTCCTAGGAGGTACCTTTGTTACATTGGGTTCAGGTCGTATCCTTTTGATGAAATACTCTGCCAATGAAGGTATGTTGGAATGCTTATTTCTATATAGATACTACCAGAATTTGTTGGCATGGTGTTTACTGGTCTGTGACATGAAGTTAAAATAATTAGGTTTGTAGAGTCTAGATTGATTTTCAAAAACCAAATTAAATATGAATTTGGTTCCCAGAGCCATTTTAGAAAATAATACATATTTCATATAGTCAGAAACTCTTTTGTGACATCAAATACCACACTGAAGCAATTTCTGCCAGTAATAAAAAGTGAAAAAGCATACAGTACTACACAATTAGGATGAGAACACAAATTATAGTGCAAAGAAGCCTCAATTTTGAATCTCATTCCTTTAACCCCTTATTTTCAATCAGAATTGAACTGGAAGAGACTTTGGAAGCAGGGGTGGGATTCTACCAGTTTGCACCTATTCCCTAGAACTGGTTGTTAACATTCTAAGCAGTTCGGAGTACCAGTTGTTAGAAGAAATTACTGGCCTAATCCTGTAAGGAAGGCAGGAAGGAAACATTCTGGTGTTGCTTACAGAAACTGCCTCTCCGTTAACCCTTATTACGTTCTTGGCAGGACTAGACTTCCTGTCTCAGGAACTTCTCTGGAGTTTTTTTAACCCCTCCTTTGCTGGTACTTTGCTTGTGTGGAGTGACCATTCAAAGTTATAGTGGCACTGAAAATAGTGACTTATGACCATTTTTCACACTTATGACTGTTGCAGCATTCCCCACAGTCATGAGAGGCCAGGCGAGGAGATGCGTGCCTCGATGTGAGTGATATTGAGTTGGCTACACCCAGCCAACATGACCACAAAGCCATATCCACCCAGTCACATGACCACCAAGCCATGCTCACCACCTAAGCCATGCCCACAGAACCGGTTGCTAAAAATTTGAATCCCATCCCTGTTGGAAGTCTTCAACTCCCTGCTCAAGCGGGAGACCCTATTATCATTTCAGAAAGGTGGCTATTCAGTCTTGTCTTAAAAGCCTCCAGTAATGAAGCAGCCACAACTTTTGAAGGCAAACTATCCCACTGGTTAATTGTCATCACTGTTAGAAAGTTTCTCCTAAATATTAAAAATATTATTAATATTTAAATATTTAAAAAATATCAAATATTTTTCAAAAGAAGAAGATATATATTTAATTATTTCTTTTTTATGAAAAATTCTTATCTGGAAACAAAAGTGGAGGTAAGCTGTTAGAGCTAAATTATTATGATGTTTAGGTTTGAAGGATAAAGTATATGTAATTTCGAGGGAGGATATTTTCTTTGGGAAGGCTGGAAATCAACAAATGAAGGGGAGGTAAAGTATATTATGAATTATTTCTGGAAAAATGAAATGAGGAATAGGAACAATAATTAAGTTGGAGAAATTAAAAGACATATTTTGAATATTGTATTGTATTTTGTTGTGACAGAATCAGATTAATGAATTTACTTGCAGAAGTAATGTAACTCCCAAATTCTGCAGATGGTTGAGGAAACCTGTATAGAATTTGAAATACTAAATTAAATCAAATACGTTGCTTAAAAATGTCTGGTATAGGTACGTGAATATAATTTATTTTAATGCCTAATGTTTGTTTCATAACTTGATTTTTAAATGATTAAATTTAAAATATTAAGAGTATTAAACTATATTTAAATTATTAAGAAAAAATAATTTTAAAAGTTAAAGAAAAAAAAGGTTATTGGAATAGAGAGTGTTTTATTAGCCTTCCACTTTACTGCACAAGATGATTTAACACACAAATTAAACATAAATTATGTTTAATTTACAAAGAAAAAAGAAAATTATAGTGATCAGAGATTATACAAATCTTCTTAACAAAGCCTAAAGTTCCATATCTGTGTTTAATAAGGAAGCTTCCAACTATAAATTTCTTAAGGAGTTTGTCGATAGTGCTTTGTTCTTTTTAAAATCAACAATAATCATATTTGATGAGGACAGTGTAGATATGTACTGATAATTAAATACATTGAACTATTTTTCTTCTTTTTCTTTTTTAGGAGGATATTCCCATAGTGGATTTGGCTGCAGCTCTTGGAGGCAATTGTATAGCTACCTAAAGTGGTACAATTCCAGCTTTTCTTTATTTTTTAGATAATCTGATTGTCTTCTATGTGTTGTCCTATCTTGAACCAGTAAGTATCACTTCAGAAATGTAGAATGGTCTTTATGTGTTCTAATGGAAAGAGAATATATTATTACCACCTTAAGTGCTTATATCAAATTTCAGTCATTTTAGGAAATTATAGGTAGGATTGCTTCCTGCCGAATAAAAGTTCAGTAGTTGAGTTGATATTTTAGAGGTGTTATGTTCAGTATAAGCTATAATATAAACAGAACACAAATTTCATGAGCTAAATGACTGTATTCAATTCTTATGTTTTGTCAGTGCTTTCATAAATCTTTCAGACAAGAAATCTATATTGCAAAGGGGTTTTGCAATTGTACATAAGTTTGTGTAAGAAGCATAACATGTAAGTAATGCCAAGGAAATTAAAGTAAATGTTTTAATTAGAGCCGGGGTGCAAAACCTTTAGCTTACCAGAATCCATTGAACATTGGCTTAAGAGTGAGAACAGGTAGTCCTTGGGTTATGATAGTTGAGATTGGAGTTTCCGTTGCTAAGTGAAGTGGTTGTTAGATGAACCATTGCATGACTGCATTGTTTAGTGACAGAAGTTCCTGTAGTCCTAGTTGCAGTTGTTAGGCCAGGACTGTGCCATCGCTAAGCCAGGATCTCATGCTTCTCCTTCCCTCCCACGATCCTTTCCGCTTCAATTCTACCACCTACATATCTCCTTCCCTTCTCTGCCCATTTTGCTGCCTTGTATTCTCTCGCCACTTGCCTCTGCCATCCCCAGCAGGTGGCAGGATTAGGCAGCAGAGTGCACAGTGGCCAAAAGGGCAGAGGTGAGGCAGAGATAGATTGGGGCAGGCAGGGGTGGACCTGAAGTACACTCGGCAGCCATAAATGCAGGCAAGCGGCCAAGCACCTGAATTTTGATCATGTGACCACAAGGGCCTTGCAACAGCTAGAACTTTGAAGACTGGTTATAACTACCATTCATTCAGCCCTGTTGTAACTTTGAATAGTCACTGAATGATCTGAGGACCACTTAGAAGTATTTTGAATTTTTGATGCTTAGGAGGAATTTGGGCAGGAGTGGGATTTGGGCGTTCACCAAACTGGCCATAACATTAGCTATGGGTTTGCCAACCTGTAACAGCCCACCCCTGAATTCAGGGGTGAGTACATATTTTCATGATAATGTCAAAAGTCTGAAGACAGTTTTATTTATAAAGACAAGAACAGTGTTGTAAAAATAGGGTTGGATATAGTTCTGTTTATTAAGATGGGAATGAATGCTGGCTGCTTTTAGTATGACTCAGGCTGATTTCCATTTGTAAAAGAAAACAACCCTTTGACCTTTTCTGGTACTTTCCATCCATTCCCCCACATCACATGTCCATAACCTCAGGTTTGCCCTAGAGTAGATTTGTGAGGAATCACTTCTAATTTGGATTAATCAAAGGATGGGAAACTATTTCTCACATTCTTCTCACTTTCTGTTTCTAATCAAACAGGAATCAAGGTTATCTCTATAGAATACCATATAGTGAAAGTCATAAACTGAACCAATAGTGATTATCTCACCAAATGTTCTTTAATTAGAATCTACCATACAGGAGGAAATACATGAAAAGAGTATCTCTTTTCATTTATGAACACCTCTAATGGCAAAGAACCTTCCATGGACAAAAAGAAAGTGTTAAAACATTGGTCCATAATTTGAGGAATAAATGTTAAGGGTTTGTTTTTCTGCTTGATTCTGTGAAATAAAGGAATGATTGCTTTCAGGACCTCTCTAGACAGCCAGTTCATTTTTTTAAAATAAAAGTGCTGTTTAGCTCAATAAAATCTGGTTCCACAACCAATACGTATTAAGGAAGTTGCTAATGGATATCCTATTTGTAGGCTGCATTTGACTTGTAACATAATATTTCTTCTTCTAGGCCATGGCAGTTCTATTCTCAAATTTTGTTATCATAACAACAGCTCTACTGTTCAGAATAGTGCTGAAGTGAGTAATTATGGAAACATAATTTTTTTTTGTCATTTCTCTTTTGTCATTTCTTTCTTTCCTCAAAGTTCTCTTCTGAAGCAATTTTAAACAAGACTCTAAAGGTAATGAAAATTAAAAGCACATCCAAAATGATTAATAACATAACTACTATTGTCATTTATTTGTTAATGAATACACAACTATTGAATTTGGTGTACTTGCTACGGGTGTTTTTTTTGTTAATGACTCAGAAGGCAGCCCTAAATATGTTAATCTTATCAAACTGGGTCATACTTTTATTCACTCCCCCAAATGGTTGTTTTTAAAGACATTATATTCTAATTTTTACTTATGTGGTGTAGGATATTATTAGAAGAACAATAGCTTTCCAGAGTTGTCTAGAACTGCAAGATGGACAGCATATAAATTTAATAAATAACTAAATAAATGAAAGAACATTGGCACAGCTTCAATAGAAACAAAATAATTCAGTGTGCAGAGTGAATGATCCTGTTAAGTATAAGAGGCATCGTAAGCTTTTAGATTTCAATATTATTGTCCAAAGACTTTTTCTTGATGCAATACTAAAACAGACTGCTGCCTTACCAAAGAAGTTAACTCTTTTCCCCTCATACTCATTACTTGTGCTTCTTTGAATCAACTTACATCATCTTTTCCTCTCCATGCAGGCGGCAGGTCTCCTGGGTGCAATGGGCCTCTTTGCTGATTCTGTTCCTATCTATTGTAGCTCTGACTGCAGGGACAGGAAGCAATAAGCATAGCTTGGCTGTGCATGGATTTCATCATGACATTTTTCTCAGTCATTCAAACAGTTGCCTACAGTATACCAAGTCAGAAGAAGAATGTTGGGGAAAAGAGAACTGCACTCTTAGATGGTCCTTCCCTGCCTTTAGCTGGAATGTCACAACTACAGCAGGACCCATGAAAACAGTTTGTCTTGGACTGGGACATCTGCTCATACTAGTACAGTGTTTTATTTCAGCGTTAGCCAACATCTACAATGAAAAAATACTGAAAGAAGGAGGCCAATTCAGTGAGAACATCTTTGTGCAGAATACCAAGTTGTACCTCTTTGGAGCTATGTTTAATGCTCTGATGCTAAGCCTGCGCCCTGAAAACAGGCGCCAAATAGAGTATTGTGGGTTTTTTTATGGTCACAACATATTCTCCATGGCCCTTATTTTTGTCACTGCCTTCCTTGGGCTCTCCGTGGCCTTCATTCTGAAGTTCCGAGACAACATGTTTCATGTTTTGACTGCACAAGTTACAACAGTGATCATCACCACCGTGTCAGTTTTTGTATTTGACTTTAAGCCTTCCATGGAGTTCTTCTTGGAAGCCCCTGTAGTTCTTTTGTCTATATTTATCTATCACTCCAGCAGCCCTCATTCTACGGAACACACTATTCAGTGGGAGAGGGGCAAACATAATGGAGGTACATGGGAGCGCTGTAGTGGGGTAAGGTTTGAAAGGTTTCCTTTATAGACATTCTGTGGGCCAACTGATTTCAATGCATACCTCTGATTGTAATGTGAATATAAATGTTTGCCGTCATTGTCAAAATAGCATTACGCTGCTAGTAGGTAGTCCTTGGCTATGATTGTATGTCAAGTTATCCCTCAAACTGAAAACAACGCTCAAAAATAGTTTTGACTATTTTTGAACTTAAGATGGTCTCAGCGTCCCTACGGTCATATAAACATGATTCCAGCACTTGACAACTGGGGCATTTTTACAGTGGATGCAGAGTCCTATAGTCACAGGGTTGCCATTTGCAACCTTCACAGCTGGCTTTCAACAAGCAGAGCCAATGAGGAAGCTGGCAGTAAGTCTCAAGTTGAGTTCACACTTAGTGACCGTAGGTGATTCACTCAATGACTGCAGTGGAGCTGATGTAAATTGGTTGTGGTCTTGTGATGTTTCATTTAATAACTGTCACTTAGTGAAGGAGTAGTCAGATCCATCTGTGGTTGTTAAATGAGGATTTCCTATAAATGTGCGCTTTGTTTGCTTTATTTGCTTATTAGAGTGGGTCCAAACGATATGCAGTTTATTATGAGTGTGTCCAATTAAGTCATGGCCCTGAGTAGTTCTTAGAGAAATCTCTGCATATAACTGGATGCACTCACAACAAACTATAAAGGAAAGTTACTCTATGTTGAAACATGTTGCTGGGCAGTCCTGGTGAAGCAGTTCCTGTGCTCTTAGAATGTAGTAGAAAACGCTGCTGGTTTGTTCTGCCTATTTTGGAAAATTGTTCTTTTTGGGGAAACAATAGAGAAGCACTTCTGTGTGCCGACCCAAAGAGCTAGTGCTCTTTGCAATAAAGGATGTTTATTCAGAAAACTAGAATGGAAGTTGTGCCCTTGCTGGAAGCTGCTTAGTCTTACTATGATATCCTGCTATGAGCCATTTCTTTCCTTTGCATTTCCTATATTTGTGTTTCCTAATCACTTCACACTAGATTTGGGATGTGCAGCTCCCTAGGTTCCAGAAACATTTGACATCATGATATAAATCGAGGTATTTTGGGACATTCCATTCTGTCGCAGGTTTTCAACTTAGAATCTTAGTCTCCCAAGAAATTCACAATAATATAGTGTGGTTTTAGTGGACATTTTTAAGGAGTATTTTGTATTTTTCAGATACATTCCTTATTAACATTAAAAGTGTATTTTTGGAATAGCTTTGAATGTATACAGTCCTTTTTTAATGCATTTGTGGCTATTTGCTTAGCTTTCTATTAAATTAAAATGATTTTTTTTAAAGATTGAACACCAGAGGGCACAATTGACAAACGAGGTGCACTTGATGATGTGTTCGTGGGTATGCTTCAAGCATCATTTAATAAATATGTAGATTGTATGCAAAAGTTAATATATTAATGTATATGTATGTGTGAAAGTAAATACATATAATTTTCATGTGAATTTGTAAATTCATTAAGCCTAAAAAGAAGCAATATTTTTTTTACTAACTTTCTTTGGCTTTACTTGAAAAGATACAGAATTGGACTTATTTGATTTCTCTTTTTTCCAAATTTTTGCTGGTGCCATTGCAAAAATTATGTAATATAGATTTAATAAATGTATTTGACAAACATTTGGCAAGGTCAAATTCCTACTCTTTCTACATGGGTAAATACTTTGCATGGCATATAAAATACATAACAATTCTTATGAAAGAAGAATAAAACATCTCAAAGTGACTGATTAGGAAGGGTTTAACATTGTGCAGATGGTATACATTGTAAGATCAGGCCTTCAGAGTCTACTAAATTGTATTTATTAGTTATGGCATGGTTGTATGATAAGGATATAAAAATTGTAGCACATGGCTCACGTATGGCTCATCAGCAACTTGTTTTTGCAAGCCCCAGGTCATTATACTAAAATTAACAGAACTGCCTTGGGGTAATTTGGAGTGATAATTTAAGAACTCTCCCAATTAGGATCCTGGTAGAGCTTCTGGTCAACAAAAGTTGTATCTCCTATCTTTGATATAATTAACAAAGGTAACTTATTGTAATCCAGTTCCAATGAAAGAAACACTATTATAGGATACAGACTAATGAAGTTCTACTATCGCAATTACTGTACGGCCAATACCAAAAGTAGCTATGCTTCAAATTATGGTAAACATTAGACAAATGACGTAATCTATTCATTTTAAGGACTTGTTTATTAATTTTTTATTATCTTCCCTCTATTTTCTGTAGGATGGAGAAGAACTTGAGAGACTCACCAAACCAGGCAGTGATCATGATTCAGAGGAGGAGGCCTTATAGCAAATGGTGGTCACGTCTAAAATTTGGGGGAGATCGCCTGGACATTCATGCCAAGTAGATAATGGGAAGAGGGCTTTGCCAATTCACAAAATATTTCCTATGAGTAACATAATCAGGCAAAAAGCACCAAATTACTAGAATGTAACCAGCGGTCCTCCACCCACCCCAGCCATTCACAAGTTTTCTGTTCCAACTCTTCCATCTGGTTGTGGAAGGTTCTTTCCCAGCATAGAATATGAGGGCAGGAAACTTTTTCACAGTGGAAGCGGTGGAAATCTCTTACTGTTTTACTGAGGTGGGATTCAAAAAAATAAAATAAAAATCAAGTTCTGCTAGATGATATTTTAATTGCTCAGCAAAGAAAGGATATTAGGGTGGGATTAGAAAAATCAGCAGAGATTATAATTTCTCCTAATCCTCATGACTATGCACTAATAATGTTGAAGACCATACACCTTGAGTATTAAATGCAATTGGAATTTTGTGGAGATCTACACATTCTTGTCAAATGGACGATGGCAAGAGGTTTGCATGTTTACAAATTACTATTCACATAATTCACTGATTCACATAAAGCACTGATTTACTATAATGCTGTCAAAATATTAATTGCTGGGAATTATCGAGGGGCAATCGTTGCTCTTCTGATAGTAGACTTCCCATAGGCAACTAGTTGGTCATCGTTGAAAATAGGTTACTGGAATAGAGTTTTTATGTGATCTAGCAGAACTGTTCATGTTTCTGTGTACTTGATCTTCTAAAATGAAGATTTATTTTTGCAGCAAAAGTCATTGGAATTCAGGGGATTCGGCTGCAGAATTTTGAACCACGTATTTTGAGACAGCTGCTTTTTTTCCACCTCAAATTAAAGAGACTGGAGTGTTAATGCTGAGATATCTCAGTTCAAGGATGATGTGAGAGAGGAACTTATTGATGGAATTATGAAAGCTATCTTTTTGTGAAAATCCAGGCGCACAATGCTCAAAATATTGCATGCCACAAATACAGAGATGAAATGGTAACATTTTTTATATGTAAAATGTGCTTTACCCTTTTAAGCTTTGAAAAATATTGTTGCCATCATGCATTGTATGCCTTAGGTACCATGTAAGTCATCAGTCCTTTATATGACTACCCCTGTAATACCCAGTGTTAACATCTGGATATGTTTGAGCCTCACAATTTCAGTAATTAAGACATCGTTTGAATATGAAAACCAATATTTGGGCATATAGCATTTCTTCTAAATGCCTTCATCATCACAAATCAGATGAGTTATCCAGCTGATGGAGCCATGAAATGAATAGGAAATTAGTAACATTACCTTCTAGCCCTTTTGCATATTTCTGTACTATTTGGGTACTATTTTTACTTTTGCTACATGAAAATAGATAAATTGTGTATTTAAGCATAAAATTTCAATTACTTCTTTCAAAATATACTAATACGATCATCCTTCTAGGATAATGCAAAACACGGTCCAGAAAGATATATTGTTCCAAGTATTTATTCATTCTTAGCCGGTGTAGCTGATGGGATGGAAGGAATTACACTCCTAACATCTGGGGATTTTGTGATAAATGTTTCTACTCCTAATATAAACCATGTAACACTGCATAAAACTGCATTTATCTTCTTTTACATGCATGTTGTTCACAAGCTATGTGTTTCAAATGAATTACTTTGCCTGGTGAATCATTGATGTGCAACTATCCCAAGTTGGTGCTATACAGATATTCCATCTTTTCTGACTAATTTATCTAGTGACTATCCTTGATGGTGAATTACAATCCAATAATATATGCAAGTCAACATTTTGTAGAAGAATTTTTTAGGGCATGTTGGCCAGGAAAATTTGTAATCCAGTATTTCTAATCTTTAATGGAAATTTTAAACATAGGCCATCTTTAATAGTACGTAATGCTTTTAAGCGGGCATATCTGGGTTATGTACTAGAAATGTCAATTCCTTAAAGAAATGTTACCTACCCTATAAATATTTCCTTAGCTTTCAGCTTGGAACTAGAAAATTGGAATACCTCCCAATCCTTGGGTTGTCTCTGATGTTCAGTCTTTTGTACACATTCATGTTTGTGTTAAGTTCCATAAAAGACAAAAGAAGTACAGGCATAAATGCAGTGCAACATAAAAAAATTTGTGCTGACATATATTTAAAGCTGTAACAATGCATGCAACATTTTCTATGGATACGATAGAGAAATCTTTGTTTTTCTAGCATTGGTGATTCCGTTTTGGAATGGAAATGTATAAAGAAAATAGTACGATTGTATTCAAGACATTTAGCAACTATGAAATATAGAGAATTCTAAATTATATTGTGTAAAATAATGCTTGAATTGTGATGTGAAGTTTCACTTCGGTTTTACATTTCAAGTTTAAGATTCATTTGTAAAGATGCCTGCAAGGGCAAGAGTTAATATTATAAAATTATTGGTAGAGGAATGTTTTAAATGCTAGGCAAATATTCCAATCAGGGTTACTGTGTTGATATAACGTTGTTCTATTATTTGCTTACCTAACATTTAATTGATATTTTTCTGTAATGTAACCACACTGGAACCTGGTAAAATGAAGCATCCCTTTGATCCTTATGTTTATAGCATTTATTCAGAAATACTGTTTGAAGTAAGGACTTCTTTTACCACCTTTGTTGATGCAAGTATCCATTGTGCTTTTATATTTCGGAAGCCTTGATAGTTTCTGAAGAAGTAGTTCGTCATTCTAACATAATAGTGTTCCTTAACAGCAATTGCTTAAATACAGTTGCAAGACAAACTTTGCCTAACTTACCTACTAGTGCCCGGAATAAATTAAAATTTGGGGAGAGGGGAGTTGAGTTTCAATTGTTCTCTAGACCAGAAAAAAACTAGGTAAATAGATATTAGTTTTATGCATACCAATCGAATTAGAGACAGAAAAATACATTAGTTACCAATATGGACTTTCCATAATTTAGAAAACTGATAAAATACATATTTTTAAAAGTCGGTAATATCACACATTTATACGTATGCTTTCAGTAATGTATGAATTTGTGCTAAGCTCTTAATGGAGCCTTTTAAGGGACATCAAACTGTTGCCCAAACTAGGTAACTCTACCCAACTTCAAGGCCTCGGATACCCTAGAAGTACTTGATTAAGCATTCCTGACCTAATATATACATAGGAATTTGTTTATTATTTTGGCAAGGGCCTACATCACTGTTGGGTTGGACATGGAGAACCTGAATGATTTTCCTCCTGTGAAAATGACTTGAAAGGATGTTTTCTAAATAGAATATAAAGATAGGGAAAAGGTTAAATATTCATCTGTTAGCCAGTCTTCTTCAAAGGATTCCCCTTTTGCATTCATGTGGCCTGGCAGACTCACTTAGGGAACATATATTTGTCCACTTAATATGTGGTTTGCCTGTGTTTGAGAAAGAAATCTGCTTTGTTTGGCTTATGTGGAATTTAACAAGAAATTTCTTGAAACAAAATTTTGAAAGTTTTTTGAATTAGTGGTATGTAGCTTTTTTTTTTTTTGCAAATATCTAATAACAGAACAAAAATAAATCAAAACCAAGACTGTCTAAGCTACTGTTGAGCATTATTTTCAGTTGTGTTGTTTGATTGGTTTGGTCTTACTTATTTTAACATTACAATTATTCTTAGCATGATGTTTTCAGGAAGTTGTGAAATCACTAGTTTTTAGGTTACATTGCACTTAAAGATACAAAACAGAGAAAACTAACTTAACCATTTTGGAAAAATTCCTCTCACGAAACATTTGATAAAACTGCCTAGCGTGTTTTGCAAGTTAACTGGTGTTGGCAGTGATGGTAATGTATGTGTAGCTGCTTTTGAGGCTTCCTTCCTTTGATATTGGAGGATGGAAAAACTAATTGGATCCAAGTATAGGACACCACAGATTGAAGAGCTTTTGAATTCCAAGTTAAACTACAGAAATTATTTCTTTTTCTTCTTTTCTACCTAGGAAATAGAACCTGGGACAATACTATTTTTTACTTTGAAATTGCTGGCCTTTAGGCCTCATGTAAGTTGCAGCAATTGCTATGACATATTAGGAAAAGGTTTTTCTGATATCCTAAGTTTTTTTTCCAATTGAGAAGAGTATATTGTATCTATATAGAGGAATGTTATATCTGTTTCTACTTGCAGTTTGAATTGATACATTCAAAGTATAGATTATTTATTTCTACTTCACCTTCATTATTTTTACAAATAACTCAAGGCGGCAAATATATCTAAAGCAATCCCCTCCTATTTTTCACAACACAACAATCCCATGAAATGGGTTGGGCTGAGAGAGTGACTGGCCCAAATTTGTTAGGAAAAATAATATCTAACATTAATGCTGTTGCATTAGGATTCTGTGGCTTTGCTTAAATATATTGCTAGCTAAACAGCTATCTTTTTAATCAGTAATATACTGAGCCATGATGGCACAGTGCTTAGAATACAGTATTGTAGTCTAACTCTGACCACTGCCAGGAGTTTGATACATGGCTCAAGGTTGACCCAGCCTTCCATCCTTTTGAGGTTGGTAATTTTGGGCGGCAATATGTTGACTCTAAAGCGCTTAGAGAGTGCTGGAAAAGTGCTATGAAAGCGTATATGAGTTTGTTGCTTTTGCTAAAGCCAAATCTTTCTCCTATATTTTCACTCAGAGTCATAGACTGTATTTAAATTGATAGCTCTAGAAACACTTCAGATTGGTAATTGTCATACAGAGATGGCATATTATGAACAAAATCATTTTAGTCAAAGCATTTTAAAAAGTCCTCTAGAAATCATTTTCTGTAACCTGTAATAAACCCTCCTGAAAAACTGCAGTGTGAACATCATATTCTACAACACAATTCACTATTTTTCCTCTTCAATAAAGATTCACAGTTTTCAAATATATGTTCCAAGAACTGATGTCCATTGTATATGTTATATCCTACCTACCATACAATAATCACCATTATAAAGGAGCGTCTTATTCTATATATACATAGCACAAGGAAATTACCTCAAATTAAAAGGGCTCTAAAATATAAAGGAGTCTTTATTTCATAAAGCGCCAGTGAAATTAATTTCACCTCTTTCAATTCATGGAAATGTGTGTTACAGAGAAGGCCAAAATTTTATACACTCCCTTGACTGAACACTAAAGCAATAGAAAATGTTCAGGCAATCATGAAACAATTTCCACACGTGGCCTTTTGTGACTTGAAAGACTAGTAGGATGCAAGCAGTCAAAAGCTAAATTGCTACTTTCTGTAGGGGTATCCATGGTGGTAACTTTCATGATGATGATAATCATCTTGGTAACCTTCCTGATAACCTTGGTGATAACCATGGTAGCCATACTCTGCATATTCATCTTCCGGGCATCGCATGCCAAGTGACTGCTGAATGGCCATCTCCTGTCGTCGAAGTTGCATAGAGTCAATTAAATCATATACAATCACCATGGACCACATTGGGGAAGGATACCAAGATTTGACATTCCCATCTTTGCCAACCAAAAGCATGGAAAAATATTCAGGACTGATCTGAAAATAATTGCGGATGTCTTTCACCAAATGAATGGGGACGTCTTCTCTGTCCACACTGGAGCTCCCTGGGGAAGGTCAGAATTGGGAAAAGTGTTAACCTCTTCAGATCGACAGATAAGTCGGTCTTGAAAGCATAATGTATTTTATCAATTGTATATTTTTTTACTATTTAAGATAATTGCTATTGCTGAAAATGACCTGGAATTGGATTAGTTGTAGCAGAAATGCTTTTTGATGCTAGAAGGAATATTTCACGATCATATCATCAAAGAGAAAATCCCCCCTTTTTAGTGTTTTGAAATAAAGCTGCATTAAGAAGACATTTTGCCAGTAGCCAGTGCAGTGGAATGGGAGAAATTTCCCTTTATCATGTCTAATTTCCTACAGAATTTCAGTGTAAAACAATCATGCTATAGGTTTTTAAAATGCAAATATTCCTAATACTATATATTTCTTATATATAGTATAATATATCAAATTATATTTATAATTATACTCAATTATATTCATCTATGGTTCTCATGTAGAAGTGGTGATGCTGACAGTATTTTAAAAAACATGTTGTATAGGACTATGAAAAGTTCCAGAATTTGCAATAATAGCTATAGTAACAAAACATGGTAGAAGTTGATCTGATGTGTATGGAAGAAATTTTAAAAATCTGCTTTCAAAAACATGTTTAGTAGAGTACTATCTGCTGTTTTGATTTGGAAACAAACAAGCATCCAACAAAATCTAATAATACATATATCTACAAAAAGTAATGGAAAAATAAAATGTCAGTACAAACAGCAATAACATTGGGCTTCAATTGGGGCTCACAACCCAAAGACCATGGGAAAGATGACACCAGAGGTGGTATTCAGCAAGTTCTGGCCAGTTCTGGAGAACTGATAGTGGAAATTTTGAGTAGTTCAGAGAACCGGCTAATGCCACTTCTGACAAGATTTTACAGTATCCTCCTGCGACGCCCACCAAGCCATGCCCATAGAACAGGTAGTAAAAAAAAATTGAATCCCACCACTGGATGACACTACTATGCGTTTATATGAGGTTACTAATAATATTGTACTGCCTAATCTGAAGAATAATCAATTATTTCTAAATATACACATATTTAGATACATGATTCAAATATACACATATTTATATACATGATTCAGCATAAAGAATAATAGACATCATGGTTGTGTGTGGCAATTTAGGACAGTCAAAATCTGAAAAAGATTTCTTACCATTGATTGGATATAGTTCTAGAACACCACCAATCTCTTCTCCCATGCCTAACAACTTGAGGATAATTATATGTCGCAGACCTATAGAAGAAAGGCATAATTTCCGAATAACAGCTTGATGGAAATAATTGTGATATTGCAAAATATACAATTATAGAATTAAATGCAAAATTTTTGCAAAATATTACTTCAAATATATAATCATAATTTTTATGCTTCACGTGTGTGTAGCCTACTGAACATCTAGTATCTTGAACTACTTCAGGTACTTCCCCAATCCTGGAGTAACAAAGCTAGATACCAGTAAATAGAATTCATGTCGATATGTTATTTATTTATTTATTTTAGAAACTGTATCAGACACGCTCAAATCACTACCCAAAAATACTAAGGGAAGACAGTCCATTCTACTATTTTAGTAGTTTACGGGGATACCATAATTTGGCTAAACCTTAAGTGAGAAAGGATAGTGAAAAAATTTGTATTTATGATCAGTCATTTTTTTCTCTTCATAATTCAGAGTCTGCGATTAATCCTGGAGATGTTTGCTTTGTAAGCATCTAATATGAAACAATCCTATAGATGTCTACTCAGAAATCAATTCTTAGATTTTCCAGGGCAGGATTGCAGTTTGAAACCATCATTTGATCATGATTGTTCACTAAGACCTGAGAAAAAGGAGGATTGTAATTTATCAATCGGCTGCTTTCCAAAAGGAAGAAAATATGAAATTGGCCACGTGGACTTTTGATTTGTTAGTGCTATGATCTCACTATTTGGAAGGATCTCAAAATGGTCCAGAAGCTTAAGAAATTCAGCATAGTGGAATTTCTTTTTACACGCATAACTAAAGCCCCAAAAAGAAAAGAGAAAGGGGGCAATTATTATTACAGGTAGTCCTCAACTTACAACAGTTTGCTAATCACAGTTCAAAGTTACAGTGGCATGGAAAAAAGGGACCCATGACCATTTTTCACATTTATGATCATTGGAGCATCCCCAGGGACACCTGATCAAAATTCAAACTCTTGGCAACTGACTCATATTTATGATGGTTACAGTGTCCTGGGGTTATGCGATCACCTTTTGAAACCTGACAAGCAAAAAAAGGAAGAGGAAGCCACTCAACAACCGCATTAGCAACTTAAGAAGTACAGTTACTCATTTAACATTTGTGGCCAGAAAGGGCATAAAATGGGGCAAAATTCACTCAACAACTGCCTCATTTAGCAACAGAAATTTGGGGCTCATTTGTGGTCATACATTGAGGACTACCTGTAATAATTTTTAACCCACCTTTATTATTTTTATAAATACAGTGGACATACAGATGAAACTCAAAAAATTAGAATATCGTGCAAAAGTCAATTTATTTCAGTAATGCAACTTAAAAGGTGAAACTAATATATGAGATAGACTCATTATGTGCAAAGCAAGATAGTTCAAGTGGTGATTTGTCATAATTGAGATGATTATGGCTTACAGCTCATGAAAATCCCAATTCCACAACCTCAGAAAATTAATTATTACATGCAATCAATAAAACAGGGATTGTACATAGAACAATATCAGACCTCTGAAAAGTATAAGCATGCATATGTACTCAGTACTTGGTTTGGGCCCCTTTTGTAGCAATTACTGCCTCATAATCATCTCAATTATGATGCATCACGGTCTCAACTATCTTGCTTTGCATGTAATGAGTCTATCTCATATATTAGCTTCACCTTTTAAGTTGCATTACTGAAATGAATGAACTTTTGCATGATATTCTAATTTTTCGAGTTTCACATGTAAATAGTCCTTCCTTCTCATTTTTCCCCATGACAACAAACCTATAAGATGAGTTGGGCTGAGAGATAATGAGTGGCACAAGAGTGAGAGATAATAAGGGGTTAGGGTTAGAACTCACAGTCTCCTGGTTTCTAGCCTGGTGCCTTAACCACTGCACCAAACTGGCTCTTATTACTTACCAAAATTGCACGCTTGCCCATTCAGGGCTGCAAGCTGTTGTGAATAAGCCCAGTCTTCTTCACTGGGAGAGGACATTACCAGTAGTCTCCTTCTCCACCGGAATCTGGAATGAAAAAGAGACACACTAAACGATGTCCCCACATTACTAGGTAGAATCCATCAGCTAATCATTACAGCTTTCTGTGTAGCTTCTGCCTATTTGTGACAGACACTGTAAAGCAACCAACAGTGCTGAAGATACTGGCAAATTCAACATCTGTAGCCCTGGCCATAATGGTCAATGATGAGGGATGCTGGGAATTATTCAGCAACAGCTGGAAGCTACAGTCTCAAAGGTGCTTTTTTCCCCCTTCAGTTCTGATGGTGTGGGATGATGAACCAATGAAGGTTTTTGGATGAGAAGCAAAACATTTTCTTCTTCTTCCTCAAGGAAAAAACAGTCCAGTTGCCTTTTGAAGGGAACAAAAAAGCACCTTTGAGACAACTAAGAACTGAATGACTGAGAATCTCCACAGATGTCTGAGAACTGCAAGTTATCCACTCTTGTGTAGTAGAGGATGAAACAGAATCTATTTAAGGGGAGGGAAAACCCACATTTTGACTTCAGCTGGCCTTAATACGTTGTTGAAAAACTCTCCTGCAGGCTTGCTTTATTAATTTATATCCACACTCTTCATTCCCCTGAACTGCATCAAAAAGATTGGAAAAATTGGACAACTGGAGCC